TAGGCCTCAGCATACACAAGGCGAAAACCAAGGTCCTCAAATTCAAAACGAAGAACAGCAATCCAACCACTATTGACGGAGAAACCCTGGAGAATGTAGAATCCTTCACATATCTGGGAAGCATCATCGATGAACAAGGAGGTCCAGATGCAGACGTAAAGGCGACTATTGGCAAAACAAGGGTCGCATTCCCGCAATTGAAGAACATATGGAACTCAAAACAACTTTCAACCAATATCAAAGTGAGAATCTTCAATACGAACGTCAAGGCAGTTCTACTGTACGGAGCTGAATCTTGAAGAACTACTACAACCATCATCAAACATGTTTAAGTATTTATAAATAGTTGTCTACGCAGGAAACTCAGAATCCATTGGCTGGATACCATCAGCAACATCCTTTTGTGGGACCGAACAAACCAGCTTCCAACTGAAGAGGAAATTAGGAAAAGACGATGGAAATGGATAGGACATACATTACGCAAATCATCAAACTGCATCACGAGGCAAGCCCTAACTTGGAATCCTGAAGAGAAGCGGAAAAGAGGAAGGCCAAAGAACACATTACGTTGGGAAATAGAAGCAGACATGGAAGGGATCAACAACAACTGGAAAGAGCTAGAAAGGATTGCCCAGGATATGGTTGGATGGAGAATGCTGGTAAGCGGCCCATTCTCCTCCACGAGGGATAACAGGCATAAGTAAGTAATTCAGATACATATATTTCTGAAAATAACGAACATAGTAGTTAGATCCACAGAACTTAGTTCCGTCTCAAGTTGACTTGAAAGCACAGAAAACTGAAATATCTTATTTACTTACGAAACGGTTAATCGATTTTCAGCTGATTTTGGTGTTTATTATATGTTACCTTCAAAGTAAAAACAAGTTTACAAACTGCTGAAATTATTATTAATCGTTCAGCACTTTGACATCTTATAATCGGAAACGAGCAAACTGAAACAATGTGAGTATATAAGCAACAAAGTGAGAAAAAATTAACATAATTTCAATAAGTTTTAATTACTCATTTTCTATCATAATAGCATTTCTATATGCTCATCTACACCCGTATACACTACACCATTGTTAATGATGGTATTTGATCATAACAAATCAATAAGTTGCATATAATTATTATTAGCCTAATGAATGTATGTTGTATATAGTCATCCGATACATTATTTTTATTCATATTCATAATGCAACAACGAAGCTGTTTAGCAAAAATGCGAGTTTTTATGTCAGAACAATAAAATCTACCCGCATTTGATGCCAATTGTGATGAAACTTCTTGTTTGTTACAGTAATTTATTGATTTTGTTTATTGTTGTCTATTTTCCAAGCATCATTCCATTTTTAACAGATATACCATAAGTGAAATTTTTCAATATTCATTTCTTGTACATTATTGAATTACATTAAGAAGAAATATTTGTTCAAGATTTAATAACTTTCCGTGTCATTATATTGAACCTTTCGCTCTCTCGGACAATACCACACAAATAGTTTGCAACAACATGACATAATAGCAAGGAGCAAAGTAACTGACATATTTAACACTTACCCCCATTCCAGTATTTTATTATCTTATCGAATAGTAAAATTATCATAGGACGATAATTGAACGAAGAGGAATTGTCCATTTAACAAAATACAATTCTACGTTACATTTCATCAAGAATTAACATCAACCAAAATAAACACCAGGAACCAAGTAACACTAGGCTATTTATTCTGCCCGTTAGCGCTACTCATCAGTGACACGGTGTCTTCGAAGGAAGCAATACTCAGTACCTGAATTTGGATATCTCAATATTTGAGTGAGGACCTGTGACCAGTAGTGTTACTCAAGCTGCTAGTAAGTTAGATGTAAACCAATAATATAGATTGATGACAACGTTATCGTGAAGTGACTAAATGGTGTCAGAAGAACTGAGATTTACAGGATTAATACCATTTGTATTGTTGATGCGTTTCTTCATTGATCGTAAACTGGGACAAAAGATTATTCGATGATTCTCTTTTCCCATCGATACTCTGTATAAGATAGGAACTAATGGAAACAGACTTTGAATATATCTTTACAAACACACTAGGTATTATAGTTTTTCATACATATTTCGAATCAGTTGATGTAGTGGTTAACCAACTAACACCGTTATTTTCAAAGATATAATGAGACTTCCAATACGGTTATTCAAACCATGCAGCAGCATGAATCTAATCGATTAAGAATAGAGATTACTGATTTCCGATTTAGCTTAATGACAGCGATTAAAACGTTTCTCCATCTTTGTACTTAACTTTATTGAGGAAAGTTTTTTAATTCTAAAAAGATATGATTTATATATATTTAGCTCTTTCAGTGCCAATACAGTTAGCATCGTCTCGTTCAGTTACAAATATTAGTCTAATCGCCTTGTAGGTTCATGCTTGAATGTGTCTACTAACACTCATATTCGACCATTTGATTGAACATATCAAATATGAATAATTTAAAAGCTTTTCCTGGACTTAAATATAGAAAAAATTAACTGGATGCTATCATCTATCACCAGAATTTTTTTTATTGATGAAAATGCGAAATAATTGATGTAGCTGAAATACTGTACTACTTGAAGTGACTTAACTCATAAGAAGCATTTGTGAATACTTGAAATAAGCATTACACTTTATGAATTAATGAGTGACTTTGAAGGATTCAGGATAATTGACATAAATATAAAACCAAGGTTTTTTTCGAACAACGAGAAGTGTTTTACGCTAATCTCGAAACCAAGGTTTATTCAGAAGCAGTTAATAATAACTTACCGAATTTATAATACCGTTTTTATAATTAGGAGCGGCTGTTATTTTCGAGGTACTACTTCAATTCACACATTGACTTCCACTTAGTACATGTACTTACTTACGCCTGTTACCCCTCATGGAGGAGCATAGGCCGCCCACCAGTATTCTCCATTCAACTCCGTCCTGTAATTATGGTAAACTAATTTCATTATTCTAATCCTCGGGTTATTTACGGAAATTCGTTATAACTGCTGCTTGGTGTGCAAGCATAATAAAGGAATTCACAAGCGATAAAGACTGATGCGGCTGATAAGATTGATTTTAGTCCCTGAGAAAGTGAATTAGATAGAACGATGTAAATATGACAGTATTGGAACTAATTTTATTCTCACTTCAATAGTAGTCTCTAAAACACTATAAATCTGGTAAGCACAATTCCATATCGCTGTTTTAAATTCGCGAACAAATTAGAACGGAATTACTTAGGATTTTAAATAGCTAAAGCTTTTGATATTCTCCTAATTACTCTCCTCAACAATAATGAGTTAATCCTCCAACTTATTCTTTGATATAACTCATTTAAGATGCTAAAGTTCGAATTACGTACTGTCTAAATAATATATACACTATCCAAAGCTAAAGTAGTAAATTCACCTAAGTTAATGTCCCCAGTTATTTAGATAGAACATGCCATTTTAGCAAATATTAATGTAGATTAAGTAATCACAGAGAAGTAATCAATACCACATCTCTGATTGATGTAAAGAATCAGTTCCCTTGAGGTTCCAGCTACACCTTGCTGACGAGTTTCATTTATCACGAAACCTAGACCAAAGATTAACTGCTGACTGTCCAAATCACCTAAAAATATTGTAATTTGTCTATTTGAGATCCTTATGCGCTTCAAAGCAAAGTATATCATTTAGTTTAATTTCAATAAATGTAATCCATTTACCAGAACTGACTAGCAATTAAGCCACAAATATGCAGAAGGATATATAATCATCAATTTCACCAATAATCAACTGTAATTTGAGATATTGTTCTGCATTAGAAAAATAGCGAAACAAGTCATAGTTATTTCATTGTTAACACTGTCGATAAATCCTAGCTACGATAATTTAGGTACACAATGACGACCCTCAGTATATTAATTTTTTAATATGAATTATATTTATCAATTTTAAGATGAGCGGATAATTACAACTAAATCTCATTATTTTAGTCTGGGTAAGTGTTAAAGAGTTAATAATTATTTCTTCGAAGTCTGTTTTCATTTAACTCCATAATTTACAGTTGCATAGTTGTTATTCAGAAAAGTGGTTTTAATATTCATAATAATGATCACAAATCATAATATTCCTTGATAATAGTAATATCACTAATATGCGAAATCTGTGATATTTCTGTGATTTATAAGTGCAAAAGATAAATATGCACATCAAATATTCCATTTTTTACAGATTGAATCATGTCGTAACAAGAAATTCTGAACGGTTGTTTACACATATTTGTTACTGTTATTGCTGGATAAGAGAAGACGCAAACTTTAATTTCAGCTAAATTAAACAAAGATGTTTCAAAAGAAATGGTGTGAGAATATACTAGTTTAGTCTATGTTATGGAAGTGTATGAAAATTGTGTTGAATCCAACAATAATGACTTTTTGGTAGGATAGTGTTGACAAAATTTAGATACTTTCGTTGAAGTTGATTTATCAACTAATAACTACTGACAGCAAACTTACTGACATTCAGTTTTTATGAGAGGTTTAGTTTTCGTCAAGGTATAGACGAGACCTTCCATAAGACTATACATACATTATAAACAATGAGAATTTCTAGATGGGATATTGATGAACTACATCAAACAGCTCAATACTAAATAACTAAAAATATTTAATGGTTAAGCCTATGATTTATCAAAAAGTATCAGGATACTTTCCTAAACTCATCAGAATACTTAAAACGTTTTAACATATAAAAGTGGTCCTTAATTCCTTTAACTAAATAACTGACTTACTTTCAAAAAACATTTGTAAGAGGCTCTACAAAACGAAGACATACTACATTTCTCTGCACTCGTTATTTTTTTAGGTTGTGAAGTTAGCAACAGGGAAAATGTTACAGTATTAACATTTTGTACTGATCACATCAATATTACATGAAATCTGAACTGAATTAAAAGATCTGGTAAAGAGAAAGACAACTTTTTAATCTTCGTATACATTTTATTTAGTATGACATAGATTGTGTGTTTTACTAGTTAAAAATTGACTTCATAAAAAATCAAAGTAAAAGTGTTGACTTTTCCTTTATTTTACTCCACCGAAGAAACACGGGAAACGTTATGCAGCTAACAGTACAACTAACACAAATACCAAGCTAAAACTGAGCGCCAAATGCACAGCAAGAAGAAAGTATTTGATTACCCATAACTGCAAATGAAAAGAACAAGATAAATTTCGGAGCAATTTTATTTTACCTACAATAAATGTTTTGCCTGACATGCATTTTGTAAACACAAACATTTTAAAAGTAGAGAAATGTCTAGAGCATAATCAAAAAAATACACGATCCAATGATATGTACAGGGATTAACCAGCCTATAATGTTGCTTACACCATTTACAGGACGAGTGATTTTGACGTTAGATAAGTTATCATTCAGTATAACGAATTACAAAACAATTTATACAGTCTACTAGCAGTGTTCATGTAGTACTATTATGTGCTACTTGAAATAACAATAAATGCTTGATTTCTAAAGTGAGAACGTAAGATTTCAACTTAAAGAATCCACTTATCTTCTGGCGATATTAGGATTATTGATTGCACAAAACATACGTTAACATATAATACTACGTTTTCTACTATTAAAGGCTCACGTTAGTGTTTAATTGCTATTCATAAGACGATCATAGCAGTTCCTAACAAAATATTATATATTAGGTTGAAACTCACTACTAGCGGTGGTAAAAAGTTATGTCAACAGATGAATATTTTTGTCATCAGTGGTAAAATCGCTTTCATATAAACAACCAATAAAAGTTCTTTTTAACAAAAACCAGTTCGTTCGAAAAGTATGGAATGAGGGTGAAAACTGAAATAACAGATTCATATATGAAATCATGTTTTATGTATAAATTCTGAACAATAAATTGGATAAGATAACGCTCATTACGTATTTTAAAATACTAATTAACTTCTGGGTTTGATTTGATTGGTTTTTTCTGGTTAGCGTAGCTGAGAAAATCGTCACCATTATTCAGAATTCATACGACTGACTACAATGCAAAGCCGTACATGGAGGACAGCTGACAGGTGCATTCTAAGTGAGGACCGCAGTCAGACAAGACTGCCTACTCTCCCCCTTCCTCTTTCTTCTAGTTGTTGACTAGATGATGAGGGTCTTCACATCTCAGAGGAGGCACGGAATACAATGGACAGCTAGACGATTTGGACTTCTCAGATGAACTAGCTCTTCTATCCCATACATATCAACAAATGCAGATGAAGATAATTAGTGTAGCAGCAGCCTATGTATCAGTACGTCTCAACACACACAAGGGAAAAAACCAAGATCCTAAACTACAACATGGAGAACACCAACCCAATCACACTTGATGGAGAAACTCTGGAAGATGTGGAAACTTTCTTGTACCTGGTAAGTACCATCGATGAACAAGGAGGATCGGATGAGGACGTAAAGGCGAGGATTAGAAAATTAATGGCAACATTCCTACAGTGGAAGAACATATGGGACTCAAAACAACTGTCAAACAGTATGAAAGTCAGAATCTTCAATACAAATGTCAAGACGGTTCTATTGTACAGAGCTGAAACGTGGAGAACTACTACAACCATCATCAAGATGGTACAAGTATTTATAAATAGTTGTCTACAGAAGATATTCATTATCCGTTGGCCGGATACCATAAGCAAAAACCTACTGTGGTAGAGAACAAACTAACTTCCAGATGAAGAGGAAATTAGGAAGATACACTGGAGGTGGGTAGGGCATACATTGCGGAAGTCATCAAACTGCATCACGAGGCAAGCCCTGACTTGGAGTCCTGAAGACGAAAGGCAACGAGGAGGACCAAAGAACGCATCGCGTCGGGAATTCAATCTAGGCATCAAAAAAATGAATAGCAGTTGGAAACAGCTGGAGAGGATTGCCCAGAACAGAGTTTGATGGAGAAAGCTGGTGAGCGACCCATGCTCCTCCACTAGTGGTAACAGTCGTAAGTTTTATTCAATCCATGCGTAGCAGTTTTTACGACTTGGCTTATTATATTAAAGTGTGTACCAGATTCTAAGTGGTGTTTGACTGACTGACAGTAAAATATAAGGCGTATCTAATATGTCTTATGCTGATGAACAAATATATTTCAAAGAGATGAGTCCATATGAATTTTCAAGATAAACCGTTGAAATAGAGATTTATTTGAAAAGCCTGATTCCTGATTGTAGTATTTTCTACAGTACATCAACTGAATAATTTATGATTAAGATAATTTTTTGAAAAGTTACAAATATGTTAATTAAATATTGTCATAATCACCCATTTATGAGAAAAAAAGATACTCGTTTACTAGTTATAATGCTATTACGCATGCGGAATACATGAAATCTATTTCACAACCTTAATTGTATACAGCTAATTTGAATGACACAGGTACTTAAAGGTGGCAGCATATTGATCATTATCACTACTAATAATCCAAAACCATGTTCAAATGTTGGATGAATGGAAAGCAGAGTTCTGAAATACAACCCTCAGAAATAGTGGTTTTACACTGTATATGGATGTTAACGGTAAATTGTCCAGCCTACGTTGGTTAGTGTTGGTGAAATAATTTATCCACGAACTACAGCTACTCTATAAGGATTTAACCAAGACAACTGATGTGGAGTTTACATAATTACAAGCTGTGAATCATCGCCTGTTAGCCCTCCTGGAGGATCATAGGCCATGTGAATCATCGAGGGTAATATAATGCTCCATAGGTCATTAGATCTCCTTTAATAAAGTGAAGTGATCATTGTCATGGAGTCCATTTTTAACATTATACGATCATGATATATGAGGTAACATAGGTTAACTCATAACTGTCTATTGTTAAAATTTGACTAGTTATTATTGCCTAAAAATTATGTAGTCCAACTTCACATAACTTCAAATTCCAACAAACATACAATAATTCTCTGAGTTTAAGTCATGAACTGATTTAAGCGAGATCAACGTTAATAATATGAAAGCACCAGACAATTGTTTCGTTTTAGTATGAGACTCCTCAGTGGTATGCATCAACGAACCAAGCCCAGGGCTTTCGGTTGCTCCTGGAGTTCTGGTGAAAGCTCTGACTGGTGTATTTCAATCACTTCAGATGTGAGACAGTTATCCACAGCAGGAAATGGATGAGGATTGTGCAGTATCATTAAATGGCTGAGGCAAGACACATACACAGTTGGATGTTGGCTCAGTGGTTTATAGTTTAAGGGTTCGTGCCATAGATCAAAGATCATGAGTTTGCTTCCAAGATACAGAGTCATCAGAGGTGCACACTGCTGAGGAATCTCTTATTACGACGAAACAACTGTTCAATCATCCTGGGTTCTTAAATATGGTTTAGCTGAGATTAATTCATGATTTAAACTATGAGAGCTCCTTAGTCTCTACAATTCTCCATATACTAGTACAATTAATCGTTAGCTTATAATTTATCATATATATATGAGATGGATTCCTCTTATAAGTAGTTTTTTATAACTTGATTGGCATGTTCATATTAATCAAACGGTACCTTCTACTTTTCTAATCATATGCTTAGAAAAATAATTAGCCGTCATTGAGTTACATGTAGGATAAGCTTAACTTTTCAAATATAATCCGATCAACCTGCAACACTATTACGTTTGACTAAATAAAGTGAACTTACTGTATGGTTTTTGGTAATTTCTTTTGGTACACCTCTTTTTGACCTTTGATTCTAGGAAAAAATAATTATAACCCGTTAGATGAAAGTTATGTAACCAGGGAGAAAAAAACAGTTGTGGTAATGTAATTTATATGAAATAATAGGAATAATTGGTGAATGTGGCTTTTTTTATACTAAACCAAGTTATTTATCCTTTGAACCTTTTTTAAATATTTGTTTCTGCTGAAATAGTCCAGTTAGAAATTCTAAATTTACCGATATCCTCCCGTCTCCTCAGTAGTAAACGAATTCTGTCAATCAATTAAACGAAATACACGCATTGAAACATTGAATAAGAAAGATTGGTTCAGAGGAGGCTTACCCTTTCGGTGAATTCATTTTCAAAGTTGTACAATTGCAAATATATATACGTATTTTTCAGGATGATAGTGGTAACAATAATAATAGTAATAATAAACTTCTGCTACACATGATAACAATGAGGTAGAATAGACAAAGGTATTAAAAAGTTTTTTTTAAACAGGGAAACTAATAATAGTTTGATTGTTATGAACTTAAATATTCATCATAAAGATAGATAGGGAAATTATGATTGGGAAAGGATGGCTCAGCACGATAAGATGAAATGCTGAAATTGAGATGGAACGTAATCAGGAGGAGCATAGAAGCAGAAATAAATCGATAGGGAGGTAGAAGGTTTAAGGAGAAAATGGAAGGGGAAGCAGATGGTTGTAAAGAAAGGAAAGTATGAAGAGAGAAAAATGAGATTTTAAGATCATGTTCGAGGAAGAGGTTGTACCGATTTCTTTTGGATACACAATTCTGGTTTGCACAGATGTATGGCTATTGTTTCGGCAAAGTTAAGAAGATGCAATATAACTGCCGTCGGAAGATTTCTACTTACCTTGTAGATGGCTTTGAACGCAGAGTCCATCTTGATTGAGTGACCTGTGTTCACAAGGTGCTCGACTGGGCCGTTTCAACCTCTTTTTAGCCACACCGAGTAATGTTCTTGAATTCTTTTGGATAAATTACTCATCGAACGACCTGGCTCCACATGGGTGGGTAAATTAGTAAGTGCACATTGAGTTGGTCAGATGAGATAATTTGTCCTTAAGATTATTGATGAACGGTGATTGGCCGGAGAATATTATCCGCAACATTGATGCGAATAACGAAACAGAGATTCTCCTCTTTAAGACATTTGCAGCTCTATCACCCTTAAAGTCGATGTTAACGTATAATGTTTCCTTTTCAACTGAAGTTACTTGTGTTTTAGGCGGTTTCAGTTTCAAGTTTTTGTCAACGAATATCAAACGATACCCGTTTTTGACAAGTATTTCCTTCAAGAGGCCCAGTTCTTCATCTAAGACCTCAGGACTACAAATACTTTGTATTCCCATAACGAGTGATATTATGAGGTTTCGTTTTCGACTAATGGGGAAACAGCTGTAGGAACTTGGGTCTCTTATAGGTAGATCTGTTTAGAGTTTCACCTTGTTTCCGTTTCATTTCCACATCAAGAAAGTGAACATTTATTTTGTTTTAAACTTCAAGTGTGAAATTTATTGCTGGGTGACAGTTATTAAATGTTTTCAGAAGATGACTCAAATAATATTTGTTTTCACAAATGATAAAAATATCATCTACGTACCTTTTATACAAGTGAAATTTTTCGGTGGTCGTTTTAAGTCAAATGTTTTCTAGACTGGCCATGAAGCAATCTGCTAGTAATGGACCAAGAGGGGACCTATTACTATGCCACCCTTTTGCGAATAAATTACGTTGTTGAATGTAAACTGTGCATTGCAATTGCAACGTAGTAGTAGTTCTTTCAAATATGCTTCCGGTATTTTGATATTAATCCCGTTATTATTTATGTAACCGCAGATAAAACGGAAATACAACTGACTTATTTCTGTTTCTATGCTCCTCCTGATTACGTTCCATCTCAATTTCAGCATTTCATCTTATCGTGCTGAGCCATCCTTTCCCAATCATAATTTCCCTATCTATCTTTATGATGAATATTTAAGTTCATAACAATCAAACTATTATTAGTTTCCCTGTTTAAAAAAAACTTTTTAATACCTTTGTCTATTCTACCTCATTGTTATCATGTGTAGCAGAAGTTTATTATTACTATTATTATTGTTACCACTATCATCCTGAAAAATACGTATATATATTTGCGATTGTACAGCATTGAAAATGAATCGGAGTTATAGTGGTAACGCAAAGTTACATGAATTGACGTTGGTAATAAGCAATTTTAAAATGTCATTAATCTATTTTTCATGAGCTTTCATAACCATCATTAGCTACGATACATTCACGAGACTACAACGATAACTCTAACTACAAATTCGGTACTACATACAATCATTGTCTTCTCTTCTAGCTAAAATCACTTCAAATCTTGTGAATGAAATGTTGGAGAAGAACAAAGAAGATTAATTCACATCCATTTCTACCCAACATGCATCAATTAGTTTCAGTGATTATTGATAAAAGGATGTATTAGGAGAGTAGCCAACACTTGAATGTGCAATAACAGTGAAAATTATTGACGCATTGAAATACGCTGAAGCTCAATAAATTTCCTTCATATATGATTCAATGAAAACGGAAATGAACAAGAAGTCGATGAATAGAATCCACTTAAAAGCCAATGTGTGAATTTTGAAGTTAATTTCTTCATATGTATTGAGCTTGAGAATTTAGCGTCCCCAAAAGGGTTGCATTATTCCAACTCCATTAAGTCCAAGACATTGGTAGAGTAGTGAGTCGTGCCGGTTGCTAGTTTGTAATCTAGAAGCAAAATTTGCGGAAAATAAGCAGTTTGATCCAGTACTTAATTGATACACTTTCAAAGCCTTCCTTCAGATGCTAATACACAGACTAAAAGCATTTTCCTCATCTTTGAAAACGTGATATCAAGAAATAGAGGATTCTCTAAATCTTGAAATAATTTCGCTTCTTGAATATAATACAATTGTTTAACAAAACTATTGTTATATTACAAGGTGATAGAAGTTTTGCTGTTCTTATACAAGTTTACCGTTCCTACAGATAGGTGAACTTACTTATGTGGAATGATCGAAGTGTACTAATATCGATAGGTCTTGATTGTTGCAGGAAATTTCAGTTATAAAATTACTTAGGGCTTGAAAATGTGCTACAGAAAACTGTGCATGAATTTACTGAAAAGCCAATAAACAGTACCATTTTGTTCTGAACGCACACTTATTACAGCGAACAAACGCAATTAAATGGCCAAACTATAAAATGAAGGTGTTCAGTATTTGCAAATTGTTATGTATGCTTCACGAAATTCATTATCTTTGAGATAAATCAAATAGATATCAGAAAATTTTGCGACAACTTACAAGTTCTATCCTATAGTGTTCTAAAAATGTAGCTCCATGTTTCGGATCCTGAAAATAAATAATAAATTGCTTAGCAAACGCCTTATAGTGTGTATCATAGTGATAATTATACAGAAATGCTTATAGCAGTTAATTTCGCAAGTTTACCTGTCTTACTACTCCGTGATAACATTAGAAATATACTAAATAATAAGAATCTCGTATTACCTTAGATAAATGATGGCTCAGAATATTTAAAAGTCGCTTTGAGAAAGTTTCATTATCCAGTTCTTCGTCTTATAAAATTTCTAGTTGTTCTTTACTTTACATCCGTCTACCAGACATCTCAACATTTATCTCAAAATCCTGCAGGATTAATTGTAAGATTAATGGTATCACTCACTTGGGATTTTTGATTTAAAACTTTCATATTTTTTTATTTTAGAGTTCTCAAGAAAAAAGGTTCCATGTCACTTTAATTCGATGGGCAGTCTCATGTTCATATATATGATCTAACATTTAGAAATTATTTTTAGAAAACCACGCCTTTACATGGTGGTTTGTGTATGAATAGTTATTGTACTACTTATTTGTTTATTTATTTAACATAGTAGGACTTGTAAATGACTTTAAGTAGGCGATCTTGTAAATAATGTAACCTACGAAGTTACTTGACACATATATTGGTTGGTACTATATGATAAGCTAGTCTAAAATTGTGAACAAGCTTCTGAAATATATCTTTATCTCAATTACTTACATAAAGACACTTATATGTTCTAAAATCCAAGTAGAATTCCTGTGTCTACAGTAACTAAATGAATGGACTAAACTCGTATGTTGAGGACAAAAATTGTTCTTACTCGATAAAAAGCAGGGAGTGACACAGTATTCTGGAAAGTGTTTTAATGGGAAAACTCCACAGTCTAATATTCTTTTTTTCTAAAAGCTATATCGGCTGAAAGAAACTTGTAGTCCAATCTCATCAAAGGATAGACAATAATTTATTGAGAGTGATAATAATAGTCGGCAAAATTGAATATCCCAATATAGGCTGCAGTGTGAGAACGAATAATCCAAAGCGATGTAGAAAAACGCTTTTAGCTTTTCCTTTGGGGAAACGATAGTGAACGCTAGGATCTTTTTTGAATTTTAATCACTAACACTTAAATCTTGATATGATTATTTTAATTATTAAAAAGCCGTATTTTTTCTTTTATAAGTGAAAATCGAAGAAGTCTACGAAGTGACTGAAAAAATAAGTGTGCTAAGTAGCTTTAAAAAGTGTAAACATCTTAGTTATTAAATGAACCACAAATTAACATATTAGTAATTTACTCTATCAAGCCGCTGCACATGTTTTGTATATAAACTACATACAAGCTCGTGATTTTTTTCATCTGGTTGTAAATATTCATTTTTAAGATACAAATAAAGTTTTGCGAAACATCAAACAATCTTCATCTAATTTCATAACGACTGGCCAAAATGTGTGCAGTTACCTGAAGACGTATTGATAAATAGAGCCTGCAAATGAGAATCTGTGAAGATAATCCAGAAACTCAAATATCTTGTGTACTCATTATTATACTTTGAAACAAACGGGTTTCTTTAATCTTCGTAAGCTAAGAAGCCAAAACTTATTGCTTGATAATGTTTGTTTCAGACTTATACAATAATAATGCAATATTTACAGTTTGATAAATTTGAAAGACTAAATATTCAATTTTAACAATGATAAATTTACTGATTTGAGGCTGCATTTGTTGGCTGAGCATTTAATATCATCTTAATTGATGATTATTTCATTGTAACTAGTTCAGTTCCCATCTTATATGGAGTAACATCGTCCGATAAATAAAACAAACATCCAAATATGGTTAATTTTATTGCTAATATTTCAAATATAAAGCACATTTTGATAAAACTGTTCTGCATTCTGATAAAATCTTAGAACCTGAGTTGCATACTTGAAATATATTCATTACTCTTTGCTAAAATTCTTCAAAATAAGACTAATTCATCTTCATTTTTCGGAACGCATTAGTAAATCAGTTGTATTTAACAAAGCTGTTCATGAAAAGCTTGAAAGTAATAAACACTGACTGATGCTATGTTTGAAAAATACAATGATGCAACCAACTTTAAAGTATATTATAACACAGATAAACTCAAGATCTAGATCCTAGAACACAGAGTGGACGTAACACCACACTTTATAGCACATTATTGCAAATTAAAACAGCTTACAAGATGGTAGACTTCACTAACCATCAAATGTTTCTTAATGCTAAAAATATTTAAAGTCGTTTTATGATATAATAATGCCTAAAGCTTAATGCGTATCATATCGTTTTCTTGAAAATGATTTGGTTATTATAGTAAGGTGATTTACAGTTTTGATAGCACGTTGAGATCAAAATAGCTCAATTACATAAAAAACGTAGTTTTCCAAGATAGAAGATACAGTCTTTTGTACTTAGTGAAGTCTGAAAGCTAATACTCTTCAACTACACTCCTGAGTTAGTCCGAAGCAAGAACTACTTATTAATAACTTTTTTGACCTACTTGCTTATATTGTGAAGGGCAAAAAAGTGTTTCAACGGAAAATAAAGTCGTATTGCTTTAAAAAAAGTGGTATATGGGGTAATTTTGTGAACATTTATATTTTAATAATCAGATGTGAAAACACCGGAATAAAAGTAGATACCATTGGATTTTCTAAAGCAAAACATTTTCAATTTAATCACAGTTTTAAAATCTGTTTTTGAACTTATAGTCCAAGTGGTACTTTAGACACTTCTAAAAATAATTATTTTGGAGCCTTGGACTAAACTTTATCTTAGTTAAAGAAATAAACTTGTAGATTGATATGCTATGGGCTTATACTTACTTCCAGTTAATACGTTACCGATCTAACTAAAAAGAAGGTTCTCCTTATAGTGCATTTGTTAGTGACAAGAACGGTACCCAAGTAGTAGGCTATTTAACGGCAAACAGGAGAAGAAATGTTGATGGCTTTTCAAGAAGTCAGCAAATAGTAACGTCTCCCTGTGGCACGATATAGTAGGTGACTTCTGTTTGATATTTGTATAACTTTATTAATTCAGTGTTACTACTACCGTATCTTTGTGCATACCAAGGTTACGAGACTGTAATTAGTCCTCAAACAGTCCTAATATTTTACTCAAGAAATTAATGAGGAGCGTGATTTTTGAATACAATAATCAAAAACTGATGTACTATAAAACACGAAATTGTATATAGTTACAGTACAAAAGACACCAAAAAGTATCACTGAATTTTATAAACTTTAAAAACTAACTTGATGAAATAGTAGCAAACTCTGATAACAATGTTTTCTGAGAACTAACTATTAATTTATCCAGTTCTTGTATCGCAAAATAAAATATGCTGATCTTAAAAGATATTTTCCTGTATTTATCATATCGAGTTAAGTGTATTAAAAACTAATCTAATAAGTGCGAACAGTTCGTTACCGTTAAAATAAGACTTTTACTGGGATTGACAGAATTATTAGTCCAGTTACGGAATTTTTGTGATTTTAAATGATGTTTCTATTCACTTCATATTGTTTTTCTTTGAAAAGGGAGATATTATGAGAATTTTCAAGTTATTTCAGAAGTACCTTTTATATCAAAGTTTTATGAGAATATGCTACTGATGACAACTCCCCTTATAATGGCAAGATCTTTAACTAAAATGCCAAGCCTCTTGGAATATTCGTAACGATAGTTTATTAAAGGTGATATCTCTTGTAGTATTGCTCCCTATTCTTACATTGTTTGTTGTGTTTGCTTACATCCTTCATGTCAAGTTTTATTATACATAGCTGTCCTAGAAACACAATGACCTCAACTTTCAATGATCACATCCGTTCGAACAGCAATAATTAACAAAAAGGATAAAATTGGATTTTACTCTAGCAAATGTTTCTATTCTTATTCTATATAGAAATGTATGATCAGATAAAATCGACAGCAGTGATAAAAGCAAACTACTTACTAAAACAAAGCTAATGAAGGTCCACATTAGATTGTATAAAACTATCAACAGAGTTCTAAACACAGATGGATTAAAAAATTTTCCTAATGAAAATGAGGGCCGACATTTATGTCACTGCTACAAGGACGTACAGTTAATTGAAGCTCTGAAAGTTTCGTCAAAATGCTAGGAATTCGCGTAACTCACTCAATCTTATTTCAAGTACAACTAACAGTAGCAATTTTAAAGGGGTATATCATGGGGGCCAACTCATAGTTTGGTGACTGAAGTTGCCGTTTTTCAAATCGACTGGCAAAGATATCAAAATGCTGTAAAGTATAAATCAATAAATTTCAACCGTTCACAAGCGTAAATATGGTATAATTAGCAGTACCATTAAATACATGGTTAAACAATCATTACAGATATTTGTTCAGAAAGCATAATTGAAATACAAAATGTCACCACTAATTTTTACTTTAATTACTCGCGATATTTCACACTCTGTTTTCATCTATTTTTGAACGTTCCATTAAATAGATAATACAATTGCTTTTCCCTCATCATGTTTAAAGGAGTTTAGACTTATATTTTCTAGACAGCTGAGATGTAGAACAACGTACTAATTTTCTGATTTATTATGCCAATGGGTTTTATCTGAGAAAGGAAATAATAATTCAGACAAAAATACGCAAAAGTATTTCAAATGGAAAATCTCTTCTTAGTTTAACTCACTTCTTCAATTCGAGCCAGTAGTTTGTCAGCTTCATCAGCTTGAATGCTTAAAATTGACCGCACAACTAATATAAATGTAATAATATATAAAATCAGGGTCTTCACAATTACTTTTGACATTTTTTCCGATTTTGTATCCAATAACTTCAAGAGTTATTTCAACGATGACGTTAAGAACAACAGTAATAGCAAAAAGTGTCGAATATACTTTTGATGAACAAATACCGTATCCCAAAGCAGGCATCTGTAGTCCGATTAAGGCCGTCGGGACTGCAAGCATCTGGGACAAAATTCCAGCCACCTGATGAACATATTTCGTAATAGCTCTCTGACGACCACTTGTCGTGCAGAGAAACCATGCAACAATAGGCTGAACCCTCTATTAGTACTATTTCCACCTACATTTGAGAAAGTAAGCACAACGATTGCAAATCCACAAGCTGGGTGAGCGCTGAAGGGAAGATCACTTAAATTTGAGTAGCCCATAACATGTACAACAATAATCATTAGTGCCAATAAAACGAATGCAAGGGTGAATGACTGCAGAATAATGTGAAACTGAAACCAGTAAGCGAAGTTATTTATTGTCCGACCTGGCCAACCTTTCTTGAAGTGTCTCGAAATGATGATTGCATTTGGGTTACAGAAACCCCATGCTAAGATCATTAAACACGCATGAGCTTTCACATCAGAGGGAATTCTGTGTCTTTAAAAATAAATAACTATTAGATTTTGATTTACTCTGATGCGTAGTAATTGTTGTATTGGCTACCATAATAATTATAAGAAGTGTTCATTGGACAACAATATCTGATTAGTTACTTTATATTCGTAGGTCATAGTTTTCGCTGAAAAATAACTAAAACTTTGTACAGTGTTCAATACCTCATATTAAAGTTGTAGTCGACATTTTAAGTACTCTTATTGTATTTTTATGCGAACAATTAATGATTTAAGTATTTCTTTGAGTAAAAGTGGGATAATGATGGGTGATGTTGATGGAATATTTTTTATTAGTACCAGAAACTATGGATTTTTTAAATCTGTTTGCAAAGTTATGAACCATCCAAAATACAAATCGCCTTCAGTTAGTTCTTGTGTTTACAACGGCCGATATATTCCTTGTAAAGTTTGCCTGCTTTTTGTTATTCAATACAGAACTTATTCGAACAGGGTAAACATCAACTAAAGTCCTGTTTGTAGGTGGTAAAATCTATTTGAATTTTGGTGCAAGTGAGTTCTAAGCACGGAGGATGTACGAGCAGTTTCTATAGTCATAATTAATAATTTTCAACACTGGTTTACAGATAAGATGCCTACCAAGTAGGGTTGTTAACTCGAATAATTCAATGAAAATACATTGCAGTATGTTTTCGCACATGTTTGCAACTAGATTTATGTGTCAGTAATGTTCAATGAGTACAATGAAGGAAAGTAAACTGCTAAGAAACGCTAATAGTTGTATCTTTTATCACTTAACAATTTTTATTATTCTCATTTTTTCATCTGGTGCCAGCCACCAGGTCATTATGCAAAAGCCTTCGTTAGCAATTTATGGTAAAATGACGAATCCAGCATAACACTGGAAACATGACTCTGAGTATCGAGCATAGGAGTACCAACTCAAAAGATTGATCGCCTCTTCCTCAGTCACAAAATTTTCTGCCGCACAAACATGGGTGAATTAAATTCGTCGCCCTAACCATCAGTAACTCCTTTTTCTCTTTTTGTGATGTTAGGTCGTTTCGAGGTTACATCTAGACGCAATATTTTGTCTTACTCGATGCTCTGTGTTTCATGCTTTCCAGAAAAACACTAATACTATAAATGATATTTTTACAAGTTTATCAGACAGATTGCAAATCATGGACTTCAGAGTAGAAAGCAAAGGGAAGCGAGACTCAGTTTGACGTGATTTAGATTTATGGGGAGCCTCTGATATCTGAGTAGGATGCAGATGTGTTCGCGAGTACTAGATCACTGCAAGGGAGGGCTTCATCAAGAATTCTAGCAAACATATGTAGTCCATATGGCACGTATATTCTGAAGAGAAGACAGTCCCATTTTAATGTATACTTGAAAAGGAAGAAGTTTTGTCCAGTTGTTGTTTCGTTCAGTTTGGACCATGCATACTTTATCTCTAGGGCCGTATATATATGGCGCTTGATTAATGAATATATTGCAACTACAGTAAGATTTTTGACGAGCCTGAATTAGAAATTCAAAATGACTCTACAAAGTGTGTGTGGCCCCTTCTGGAATATTGCACATTTATATTTAGTTGCATGCGTTCCTTAGACCGACAGAAAGTTGAGAAAATGCAACGTCATTTACCAAGACTTCTTACGCCTGATACATCATATGAAGATGGGTGTGAAGGGTGGAACTTGAGTCGGTGATGGCTAAGACCAATTAAACTTAACCTTACCCTACTATACTGAATTCTATACAATAAAACTGCGCTAAATTGTGATACTTCAGGTTTACCAAAAGCTGTGATTTTGACCTCAATCAAAAACTAATTTTGAACTTTGGGATCAGGATTTTGTGCTCAGGATATCGAGAACATTAAGTAAATTAAGACTAACTTTCTTTGTCACACGCTATGCAAGGCTCTGGAATGGGTTACCGGTAAATGTCAGATGAAATGGAGTTTCTAGCATGCTCTATGGGGCTTGTCTAAGCCAAGCTACATGTAAATATGAGCTGTCCTACATTTAACCTTGTGAATGAATAACCAGCTGGCACCTAGTGGCTACTATTATAATTGGTGACCTGTGTGTCCTGTTTACTGTATAACGCAACGATACCGCCAATCAGATAGCAGTGGGTCATCGATCGCATGAAACCCATGCGAGCAGTCTAGTGTCCTGATTGGTCCTGCTTCCTGCCCAGCTCAGCCTGTTAAGTCCAGGACACCAACCACAGCCTCTGCGATATGAATCATCTATTTCAAGCATACTGGGTTTGTATACCAACCAGACAGACTACAACGTACCATAAAATATGAAACAACATTTGTACAAGAATTAGCCAAATGTGACTGCGACTGGAGGTAGTAATTAATAGACAGGCGATAACTCAAGAATGGTAAATTGTATAATAATAGTTCACAGGTCAAGATAAAGCTCATAATAAGATGGACATGGACATGAACAATTTAGTTATTAAAAACTATACGATAAAAATGTACGTATAGTATTGATCCATAAATGGATCCAAATAGTTACCATTCGTTGTTCTTATTGGGACGTAACAACTACGTCACAAACCATTAATAGTCATTTGTCAAATAACCTTTGAGATTTCACATTTTACATGTTGTTTTTGTTATATACCTCGTATTCCCTTTTTATAACTATTAAATAATCATGTTTCTCGTGTTTCTCTTTTCATCCACACAACGATTGATGGTGTTGCATGCATTGTACTTTTGAAATATGTTGTACCACGACCCAGTCAAATATTCTTATCCCCTTCAACGACTACCATATCTCTTAGTTGAGGAACATTGACTAATCATGAATAATCATCCTCAAACCTCGTTTGCACGAACACTGAACAAAACAACTTTTTTCTTCCTAGTTCGCAGACAGATAACTCACCAACCCTATGGGTGCTGTTCGATGATCATAGGATGCTCAGAATATCCTAAATAATTGTGAATTCCCTTCAGTTCAAATTTATGTTCCTTTAAAAATAATTGCTGTCATCCAAATATTTCGTTTTCTTACTTATCGTCTTACTCATACATTTCGCAGCCTTATATTATTCATTTATGTCCTTTGATCAGCTACCCGTTCATAACATTCCTAGACCACATATTATCTGACCAGTATCTTGTGACTCGTACGGTTGGTTAACATCATAGCAGTGTGATATACTAACCGGATGTCCAACCCACGATATAAAACCTTTAGCCTGATTTGCTTGTGACATGGAATCAATAGAATGGATGAATTCCAAGAATGTTTGCAACACAGAGCTTATATTAAAGCAGCATTCATACATACCACAAATGTAGGACAGACTAGCATCACAAAGAGGAGAAAGGTGACGTTACTGACTGGCTGGGAGATAACCTCAATCCAAATACCGATTTCTTATGCCAAACACCTCTTTGACTCATGTCTGTGACCCTGAATTTGTTTCATTTCCTACTGAGAAATACTTTTGCGAATAAGACTGGACAATTACGCTATATATGAGTTCACTCATGAAAGTTACAAGAATAAAAAATGTGTTTTATAGATTTTGACGAAAAACAGCCATTTGGTTTTCGAACACTGTTTTCTTACTAAACTTTAAAAACGTAAAATCTTAAACTTTCAGCTCGTTTAAATCACTTTTATTTGTACAATTCTTTATTCATTCAGTGTCATACTTTAGCTTGTTTTTATTAGCCCGATGTAATATATCTACCTAGAAAATGACCTAGGAAAAGAGAATGAGAATGAGGCTATAATTTATGGACGACCTTTTAGCGATGCTCTAATTACTTCGGGAATTTCCATCTACTTACTAGGGCTAAATAGATTTTATCAGGCAGTTTGAGGAATAAAGATTATGATTTACAGTCGATGGTTCTGGTTTGGAATTACATTTATGGTTTTCATCAGGAACCTACGTCAGTTGAAATGCCAAAATTCCATTTAGACAAATATGTGAGTGAATTTCACGCCAAAATCCAATACCTGTCATCCTAAATCTAATTGATTTGCTATATATTATATTCTTAATAGTCATGCTTTAATTGTTCCATCATAAGTGACTAAACTTCATTAGTAATGAACACTGTTTGTCCTGTTTCTCTTCTTTTCTTTTTTTCCCTACCATTTTAGCACCCTCATGGTCTGCCACCGAAAACATCTGCGGAACAAATGACTTCGTCTTTCCCCATCGCTAATACCCCCAGAATATATCTGTTATCACTAGCAAAAAGCACAAAATAATACGATGAGGTTGTCATCTTTGAATGACTGCTCAAAACCTTAATTCAGTTCATTATCGGACGCAAACTCTGCTAAGCGCGCCAACTCTTATATTGAACATTGGAATCTTACTAACAGTTATTCTAGTGTGTGAGACTACAATTTGTGAACGAACCAACCAGGTATAAGATAACAAATCACAAATTTCGGCGCAAAATGCATCCATACATTTGGTTGAATAAAGTTCTATCATTATAACTGATGTCAGTTCGTGGTGAAAACCCTAAATCTAATTTTTTACCCTGACCTTCGACTGTAAATGCGAATTACAACTGCTCTATAACCCTCATTTATTCCTAGTCAGTAGGTGTCCACCCTCAGGGTCATTTCGGCGTCCTTCAAAGGTCGTCTATAAATTATAGTCTCACCGGTTTTGCCTGCAAAGTGAAATGCCTCATGTAATATACTGTCGTCCGAGAATATATATTATTACATACTGGTGAGTCAAATAGGATCTAGGCCTTTCTTTCCAGTTGAGATCATGACGTAAGATATAACAACGGGAGTGATAATCAATCAGTGAATCCGTTTAAAGCATTCAGCTAGTGAAATTCCGTTATATTCCTTCCACCTGCAATATATCTTCGCAATTTCCAGGCTTTAGTGGATAAATGTTCGAAGAAGTTGAGATTGTGAGAGTGATGAAGCCCAAGGTCAGTGATTTGAGTTTTGGCGGTACGTCTTTGTTGAGTGTTAGTTTTCTTTTAACAGACGGGTCCCTATACATGGCCAACTGCATTTTTCTGTGTTTAATTCTAATCCCCAATTATCGGCCTTGTTGAGTTCATGGTGGTTTGCTTGCCTCATATGTCTTACGTTACAAATGTAAGTTTCGTAGACGACAGTTAAGTCATCAGCGTAAAGATGGA